ATGCACTTTTATTATATCCCCCACATCCCCTGCCTGTCTTTCTCCTCTCATTAGTCCCTCTGTTCCCCTAGACATATTCACCTCTTCCATGTCAGATACACATATATGATTTTTATTTATCTTATAAAATCTAAAATCCACAAAAGAGAAGATACGCAATACTTGTCTGAAACTGACTTCATTTGCTTAATGTAATTAACCCCAGTTGCATCTATTTCCTGCAAATGACATAATATAACTGTTTTTGTAACTAAATAAAATCCTATTGTGATGTTCACAGGTGTTGTGTGCAGGTCTTGTTTAGGCAACTATATTGTACTAAGAGAGAGAGTCAGTGTCCTCCAAGGATGAACTTCCCAATAGGTTATGCAAACCCATGTGGTCATCCCTAAACACATGTACATATTGGCCTCACTAGATGGACTCAGCAGGTAGTATTTATGTGTATCATGGGCTCATATGTACAATAATTGAAGGATAAAAGGTCTTCAGACCGAGAGGGAATAAGGAAGACAAGGGAGGCATTTGAGGTTGCAGCAATGATGGAACTATGGTTGTCATTCTTGAAATTAAAAAAAAATAAAATAAATGCAAAAAGGGTCCATTGTGCATACATATTATCACACTTTATTTTTTTATTTTCCCATTTTAGACCACTTAGGTTGTTCCATAATTCAGCTGTCATTAACAGTTTCAGTGCTGCCATAGATGCTGATGTGTGGTTATCTCTGTGGTGTTGACCTGGAGTTTTGGATGAATATGCATGTATATAGAAGGTATGTACTTCCATCATACTGTGACATAGTAAACATTTCCATTCCCAAAGGAAGAACAGAAGGACAGTATGGAAACACTAGAACAAAACTGAGAAAGTCAGACATATTGTCATTCTATAAGCTATACCTGGGTTACATGGATTATTTTTAGTTTCTTGAAGATGCTTCATACTAATTTCCATGGTAGCTGAACTAGTTTTCATCCACACCAGTAATGTATGAGTATCCCTCTTTTCCCTGCATTCTCTCCAGAAGAGGAGACCAGGCCCCTTGGACCTGGAGTTACAGGCAGCTGAGAGTTCCTTGATGTGATTTCTGGGAAGCCAACTCTGGTCCTCTGAAACATACTCTTAACCACTGAGCCATCTTTTCAACCCCTCAAGAAATTTGCATTTTTCTAAAGGTTAGTGATATAGACACTTTTCTTATGTTTATTGATCGTTTGTAGTCCAACTTTTGAGAAATGTCTTCATGTTAGCTCATTTATCAATAAGGTTGCTTCATTTATTTTGAATTCTAGCTATATCTAGGTATTAATCTGTTTGATTTCATTCCTTTTTGGGTTTTTGGTATGTCTGGAAATTAATCCTATCACAAGTGAATGGCTACGAAGGTTTTTTTTTCCTCACTATGCAGGCTGTCTTCACTCAGTGAGTTGCTTCTAATGCTGTACAAACCTTTTGAATTTCATAAAAATCCATCTGTTAATTGTTGGCATCATTTCCAGAGTAATTGGAGCCCCTTCAGAAACTCCTTACCTGTATCTTATAGTACTTCCTGTACTTTTTCTTTCAACGGTTTCAGTTCTTAAATCAAGGAGATACAGTTTGAATTGATTTTCATAGATTGAAAGACAGGGGTATGACTTTATTTTTCTACACAAGGACACCCAGCTTTTCCAGCATCATTGGTTGAAGATGCTATCTTTTCTCTGATTAAGTGTTTTTTTTGTATCTATGTCAAAGTCACATGGTTATACCTGTGTGGGTTTGTGTTGTGGGATATTAGTTGAAGATGTGTTACATTTGTTTATGCTGTGGAACATTTGTTTAATGATGCAAAGATGTGTTCTTTTATGTAACATCTGTTTAACTGTGTGGCTGTGTTACTTTGCCCATTTAAAACCCCTAATTGGTCTAATGGCCAATAGCTAGGCAGGAGAGGGATGGACTGGCTGCCAGGCAGAGAGAACAAATAGAAGGAGAAAAAGAGAAGAGAGAGGCATGAGGAAAAAGGAGGAGAGAGGACAGCCGGGACCATCCACCCAGCTACACAGCAAGCCATGAAGTAATAAATAAAGAAAGGTATACAGAATACAGAAATACAAAAGCCCAGAGCAAAAGGTAGATGGGATAATTTAACTTAAGAAAAGCTGGTGGGATGGAGAGGTGGTTCAGTAGTTAAGAGGACCCAGGTTCAATTCCCAGCACCTATACAGCAGCTAAACAACTCTCTGTACTCCAAGATCTAAAACTCTCACACAACCATACATGCAGGCAAAGCACTAATGCACATAAAATAAAAATGAATAAATTATAAAAAAGAAAAGCTGACTAGAAATAAGCCAAATTAAGGCCAGACATTCTTAAGAAAGACTAAGTCTCTATATAATTATTTGGGAGCTGGCTGGTGGATCCTCCAAAGAGTAAAGAAATAAAACCCAGCAACTACAGGTTTCTGTCTAGGTCTTCTATTCAATTGATCTGTATTTCTGATTTTATGCTGATACCATGTTTTTGGTTTTGGTGGGGGTATAATTGTTGTTGTTTCTATTCCTTTGCAATATAATTTCAAATCAGGTTGGTGATACCCCCTAACATTGTTCTTTTTCTCAGAATTACTCTATAGCTATCTGGAATCTCTTTCCTTCGATGGGAATGTTAAGATTTTTTTCTAGTTCTTTGAAGAATGACACTGAAATTTTGACAAAGATTGTATTAAATCTATAGGTTTGTTTTGGCAGCATTAACATTTTCACAATATCAGTTATTCCAACTCTTCAGTATGATCAACCCTTTCATCTTCTATTTCCTTCAGTTTCTTTGTCTGTTTTGCAATTTTCATTGTAGAGTTCTTTTATTTTCTTGGATAGCTTTATTCCAAGGCATTTATCTTACTGATACTGTGGCTGCCTTTTTCACTAGAGTGACTGGCCAGAGAGGCCCTGATGTCTACCTTCCTCCCTTCCCCTCCATTTCTGGAATAGAGATGTGCACCACTGAACTTGGGTTTGATATGGACACGTGATTGGCAGGCACTGTATCCACCACCCCAAATCCATCACCCAAATCTGATATTCATATTTTTAGAACAGAGTAATTTTATTTTTATTTGTGTGTGTAGATGTGTGTCTGTATGGAAGTGTGCACATGTGAGTGCAGTACCTGTGGAGACCAGAAAAGGGCAGTGGATCACCCAGAGTTGGAATCACAGGCTGCTCTGAACTGCCTGGTGTGGATGCTGGGATTCAAACTCTGGTTTTCTAGAAGAGCACTATGTGATCTTAACCCCTGAGCCAGTTCTTCAACTCATTTTCACCTTTTTTTGTTGTTGCTGTTTGTTTGTTTTTGTTTGTCATGACCAGGCTGGCCTTGAAATCACAGAGATTCGCCTGCCTCTGCCTCCCAAGTGTTGGGATTAAAGGCATGGGCCACAACTGCCTGGCCCACCTTTTATTATTTTTTTTAATGGCTGAAGAATTCAGGAGAATGATGTAATTATAGCTTCACACATGAAAATTATATGTAATTTAAAATTCAGTGCTCATCAAATTTTATGAACAAAGTCTCTTGATCATAGAGGCTTTTGCTTGCATGTGTTCTTGAGTGGCTATGCTGTCCACTATACAGTCTTCCAAGCCCAAGATACTCATCTTCTGGCCCTTTTTATCACTGATCTTAGACTTTCTGTTTCCTGTGTTTCTTTACTGCTGACCTTGTGTTCTCTGGGGTGAGACCCACACTGTTCATATAACCTCTTCACTCAGTTCCCCACTCATTCCCAAACCTCTTGATGTCATTCTCTTCTTTACCTTCAAAATCCCCTGCTCCGTACACACTGACATTTGTCTTTCTTGGGGTTGCAGAGATGATGGAGACCTTACTTTCATATATAGATGAAACAATCTTATTTTACATATCAATCCCAGTTTCCTCTCCCTCCAATCCTCCATGTCCCTACTAAACACCTCTCCCTGCTACACCCCCCATCCACAACCCAGAGAGAGTAAGGGCTTCCATGGGAATCATCAAAATCTGTCACATCATTTGGGGCAGGGCCTAGGCCCTTCCCCGTGTATCTAGGCTGAGAGAGGAACCCTCCATGGGTTCTCAAAGTCCATTTATGGTTCCACTGTTAGAGGCCGCATAGACTGCCCTGACCTCCTCACTGACATCTGTGTTCAGGAGGTTCAGCGGGCATGGTTAGGTCCTATGCTGGTTCCCTAGCTGTCAGATTGGGGTCCTTGAGTTCTCACTTGTTCAGGAGACTTGACTTTCACAGGCTCTTTATTCTCTTGCTTCTATTTTAATTCTCCTGTCTTACTTCTAACTTCTCCTCGATTCTTCTCCCTCTAGTCTCAAAACTGTATTTCTACCAGGAAGCTTGAAGCAGTAAAGAAAATACAAAAGTTTCCACTCATTGGTCAAAAGCACATTCCTAGGGCAAGGGATAGTGAGTTGATCTATTGGCATGGCAACACAAGGGTCCAAGGTTACAGAAGTGAGACTGTGACCAGAGGGGTCAGGTACAGTGAGATGAGCTTTGAGACATAAACAGGTCTCTTGTTAACAAGAGAGGCAAGTGAAGAATTGCCATGCTTTCCTTAGTAACCTTGGTTGGACATCTATGACTCTGATCTTGAGCATGCTGTAGTTTTAAGCTTATGTTCTACTTAGTCCATTTTGAATCTGCTTTGAGGAAAAAGTGAGATAATCATGTGTGGCTAATTCGAGTCAAAAGGAACAAAGCAGGTTTTCAAGCATCTACAGTCCTCATGGGACAAATAGATCTAGCTATGAAGCATGCCCTAGTATATATTCTACATATCAAAACTATACATCTAAATGAAAAGTCATCTAACTACCCACATATGTATGTACCCATAAAATTGAGATACAATCATGAAATTAACGTATGTACATCACACACACTACAATGCAGGTACTGGGGAGACATCAAGCTGCTTTAGCAAAAGCAAGCAAGTTTCCCGAGTCACTGGTCCTGCAGGCCTTGTCTGCACAGGATTAACAGTTGCCAGAGTTTCTCTTGTCCGGCCAGGTTCTGCTGCAGCTTCAGCCCCAAATGATCACACAGATGCAATATTAGTTATGAAATTATTGGCTGGTGGCTAGGCCTTCTTATTGGCTAGCTCTGTCTTAATTATTAACCTTAAATACTAATCTATGTGTTTCTACATGGCCTTATCTTACCAGAGAACATCTGGAGCAACCGTTCTTCGCAATGCCTGCTTGTAGTCTCTCTCTGCCTACCTTTCCCAGAATCCCCTCATATGTCCTAGTCCTGCCTATCTTCCTGCCTGCACTGGCCAAACAGAGTTTTGTTCATCAACCAATAAGAGAAGCATACATACAGAAGGACATCCCCTATCAATTAACCTCCATCAGATAACCATTCCTCCGGTGGGTTGATATCTGAACACTAGTTGTCACCTGCTGTAACTCTCATAGCACCTGGCAATTTACATAATGTTATTTAGAAGAAAACTGGGGTGTTTGACTCGAGGGAATCAATGAGAGTGGAACTGAGGTGCCCAGCATGGACAGAGATGATGAACACTGGGGGAGGGGCTGATGGTGGAAATCCCCTGAAAAGACTCAGTGCCCCCGGGAAATATACAAGCTAATTAAAATGACGATAAATATCAAACCTCACACAATAAGAAGGGTGGCTGCTGTGATGTGGGAGCCCATGCACGTGTTGACTCTGCAAAGCATCTTAGCCACCCAGCTGCCCTCCTGCTCCTTCAGCTCCTGCTTCTGCCTCTCCATCTCCTGCCTCACCTTGGCCAGGTAGCACTTGTAGGCTTCCTGGAGCTCACTGCTGTCACTACTAAGGAAGACACAGGCATGAAGGAAGAGGTCATTGCTGTGGAAAGAGCCATTACACTCCTGCTCCAGCCTGCTTACCAGGACTACGAGCTCTGCCAGCTGCCCTTGCTGCTGTTCCTAAGAAGCCCTGTTATTAAAGGCACAGTACCTCCTCCCACACTCCTGGACCAGGCTGCTCAGGCTGTGGTTGTCAGTGTGGGTCACAAACTCATGCAAGGTCTCATTTGCCAGGTCTTCCTTATGGGTGAAGAGGACGATCATGTGCCTCATGACTCCTGCCCCAAAGATCTCCTTCACCCTCCTCATGGCTGTGGTGTCCTGGGCTGTGAAGCGTCCCAGCTGGGTCACCAGTAACAGTACATGGGGTCCTGGCACACACAGCAGGTAGCAGTCTCCAATGTCCTTTTCTTGGTTCTGGGCCTTTGACTCAAAGATGGGTGGCGTGTCTATCACTAGGAAACTCCTTCCCTTCCATGTGCCCATCTCTGCCTGGCTGGTCCTGGTCACTGACTGGGCTCCAAGTCTGGACTCGAATGCTTGTCGGCAGAGGATGCTGTTCCCTGTGGCGCTTTTCCCACAGCCAGATTTGCCCACAAGGAGTATCCTCAACTGGTAGGCTTCCCCGTTCCCTGTGGGTGAGAGAAAGTTTGTGCCTCACTTAGCAATTCTTCAGACTGTTATTTCGTGGTCCATGCAGATAGCTCCTCGTTCCCAGAAAATGGGTGTCACTCAAATGTTCCCAACTGTTTGCCTATAATTTTAGGTGGTTCTTGTCTTTTATTAAGTCCCTGTTGGGAGCCCATCCTAGAACACACAGGCACGGGGTGGGATTGCCACAGGAGGGAGAGGCTCTGTTCCATCTGGACCACAACAATTATGTCATTTCTGAAGAGAAGGTCCCTGTGCTCGCCCCTGGAGAATGCTCAGGGCAGATCCCAGGTAACCTGGTTGTGAAATAAGTGTGAGTTTAGAAGACGGCAGAGATGAGAAGTCATGAATGACAAAATAGAGTCACAGCTTTTACCCCCAGAGTTCCAGACACGCTGTGTCAATGTGCTCAGCATATGTCCTCCCCAGAGGTTATTTCAGGTGGAAGAGCTGCAGCCACTCACACTCAGAGCCAGCTGGGTACCTAGGAGGCAAAGTGGGCACTGGGAAATGAGATGAGGGATGGTGACAGTTAAGTCTGGGAAATGACATGGAGTGGGCTGCTGAAGAAGGGTGGTAGAGAAGATGGTTAGGATCACTTAGAGGTAGACATGAGAGAAAGGCCACTTCTTTGCCATGTGTGCTGGAGGGACCCCAGGAAGACAAGAGCTCAAATCTCCAGCATAGAAGGACTGAGGATATGGTACTGGTTTATGAGTCCAAATGAATACTAATTGCACTATAGACTCCTAAGAATCTGTCATTTGTGGAAGCTGAGGGTATAGCTCAGTAGTAGAGTGTCCATCCAGCAGGTGTGAGCTCAGGGCCCAATTCTCAGTATCACAGAAAACAAATCCATTAAAACCTGTTTTACTCATTTTACTCTGTCTCTTCCTTGGTGCTCTGGGGTGTTTTGTAAGAAATAGTAACTATAGGGGTTCTTCTTTTTTATATCTTTTTCTTGTGCAGTTGAAAGGAGATGAGGGGATAAAGAAAAACTATGTCACTAATTAGTTCCAGGCCCTTCGACTATGGATGAATGTTGGTGTCACATTTCCCCACATTGTGTGGAGGAGAGTCACAGTGCAGTGTGTGTGTTTGTGTGTATGTGTGTGTGCACGTGCACACATGTGTGTTCACATGCATGTAAGCATGCGTGTATGCATGTGTGTGTTTGCAAGCATGTGTGTGTGCCTCTGTGTGCATGTGTACACAAGTGTGGTGCACACATGTGGGCACATGTGTATGCATTTGTGTAGGAGGAAGCCTGTATGCCGCCATTAACCATGTGACTTACTAGAGACGCATACAGATGAGGTAATAAAAGGGCGGTTTGCCACACCGCTAACCACACCCACTTTAGGCATGACTAAAGACGTATACGGACAGACGTAAAGACGTATACGTACGTAGGCAGTGAACTACGTCACTAGCCAGGCCCACTTTTGGGCAGGGTTAGGGGGCGTTACGGGGGAAGGCATAAAAGTCAGCACACAGGAAGTCTTGGTCTCTTTTCCCGGAGTTCGGCTTCCAGTTCGGCAGCGGAAAACTACTTGGCTCATCTGGGTTACTTGTTTGGTATCTTGTGAGTAATTTCTACAATAAATACTTAGTTTTACTTTCAGTAAGTGTGCCACTTTTTGTTACAGCATCACATTTGTACATTTGTGTACATGAAATCCACATTGGCTTGGACACAAGAGATTTGGAGACATGGGGAACAAACAGCAGTGGCCTTTTTCTTCATGATCTTAACTGGATGTCTAACCCTGTTTTGACCCAAAACAGGTGGGATAAGGAACAGTGACTCCCATTCTTCATTAATTTAAAACCTTGGTGTTTTCTTACCTTCGGCTATAGTTCCATATGTGCACTTCTCTAGGTCTTCCATTCTTTTCTGGAACCAAAACAGGACAGGAAGTAAAGTCAGGTCCTTGTGGGAATTGGTAAGACACTTTGACTCAGGTAACTCAGGATAACTCTCCTTGCATGACCATTTCCATGGCTAACTCTCCCACCTATGTTTTACTTTCAAACACCTAAGTAACTCGCTGGAGTGAGGCAGAGTCATCCTAGTACAATGTGCCATTGTGTTTCCTTGCTCATGGGAAAGCGGAGGTTTTACTACAGGTGAACTGATGATCTCCACCAAGCTAGAAGTATAAAAATGGGAAGCATTCTTCTATGAGCAAGAACTGGACTTAAAAAACTGAACCAAAGTAGATGAACCTGCCAGGATAGTGGAAATAATTGCTGGGTTTTAAATAAAATTGGTTTGTTCGAAGCACCAGGCAGTTCCAGCATGGGGAAATGTTCTTGAGTTAAACAGGCAAATAAAACATGCTCTCCCTGGGTGGATGGAATGGAGGATGGCAACTCCTCAAGAACTGAGAGGAAGGAGGACAGGAGGACTGACACGCCTTCCTCCCCACACCTGGAGGTGTTGGGAAGAGACTGTGGTACCATGGTGGACAGAGTCAACACTCAAGACAAGATAAAATTCCCATGGAGGATTTAACCAAGCATCTTCCCTGCTTGGTTCTGAGGTTCTGCTCTACCAGATAATCAAGGTTTTTGTATTTTAGTAATTCAACCAGAGACTGGAGCAACCGTGGCATAAATATCCTGTTCACAGTGGTGTAATGTGTCACTGGTTTGGGTGTGATGAAAATGTAAGCATTCTGTAGGAAAGGCTTAGCCTGTGACTCTAGTCACCCCTGCGTGAACTCTTAGCTCATGTTAGTTAGCTGGGTTTTAAAAGTTTATAGTTTTAAAAACACATTTGGACTTTCATTTGTACATGAAAAATGTAGAATTAAAAAGATAAATCATAAAAATAAATTTTAAAAACATAGAATGAAAACAAGTAGCTACCATTTGCAATGAGGAAACATGAATGGTTTGCTGTTCTACTACAGTTGCACCACCAGATTAAAAATTAAAACATCACAGATGTACTTCATGATTGTTGATTTTTTTTCTCTCAATCTCCTGTCTCTTTCTCTCATTCTAGCCTTCACAGCAATCAGAGTTTTGTTGTTTTTGTGTCTGAGTATTTGCATATATATTTAGATATTTAGACATTTCTCAGTCATGTTTTTGCATTTTAAATTTCTACATAAATGTCCTTTTGCAACAGCTAGTTTTTTTATTAAGGGGCATCCAAGTTGTTCTATAATCATTTCTTTTCACAACAAAGAGTAAGATAATCCTCATAGGTACCGCTTAGCACTCCTGTTCATCTAAGGTATACATTTTCTGCTAAGCTGTATATGACCAGGTTTAACTCTTGAGTCCAGTCAGCTCTTGCTTACTCCAGTATCCCAGGAGAACCTCCAAATCTCCATAAATGGCACACTGCATTTTCTTCACACTTATGAACATAGGGCTGGACATTACCGAATATAAGACATGGCATGGTTTGTGTGCTTCTGTTATTTTGTCTTTCACAATTTTATTTTGCAAAGAAAATGGCTTTTCTTGGAATTCTTCATAAAAACCCATCAATTCTTTTCACATTTTCAGAATGTCTAAAGGCACCTCCTCTCCCCTCCTCTGTCCCCTCTCTCTTTCTCTTTCCTGTTCTGCTTGTCCACCTCCTCATCCCCCTCTTCTTTCCTAACCCTTTTTTCTCCCCCTTCTTCCCTTGCACCCAGAGAAGAGCAGCCCTCTCAAAGTCATCTCTTATGTACTGTTCTTGTCACTGTAAGCTACATCCTGGTTCTTAGGAAATTCATCAAGTCATGGAGTACTGTTTGCATTAATTGTTCAAGATCTGAATGTGAAGGATACAGTGTCAGTTTCAATGAAGCTGAACTTCCCCACTGTGACTCTCTTCTGCAGACACTCGTCATGTTCAGGATTTCTGCACGACCTTTGTTTTCTTGTGTTCCCTATGCTATTATTTACAGGTCACTTTAAACTTATATGACGTGCCCAGAGTTAACATTTGACTTATAGATAACTCTCCCCCACAAATGTCTCCTTTTGTCTGTGTTATCTCTTAGATTTCTCAGCCAGTGGGGTGTTGGGGAAGATCATTCATAATAAATCAATAAGCCGCCCTTCCTGGAACCCTGTGCATGATGCTGCTGTCCCATGCTTTGGACATAAACTCGTACTGATTGCTGGAAGTCTCTCCAAAACCAACACAGAATTGCACTTCTATATCTAAGTTCATGTTTTCACAAAATACCACCATGTCCCCTCAAAAGAATTTCTCAAAGATAAGACCACAAAAGGGGTGTCTGTTCTATTTTGAAGGATTTCATTTAGAGCCTGACTTGGTTCTCAGTGTGTCACTTGAATGTGTGCAGTGTGGCTGTCACAACCAAACTCAGCGACATTAACAGGGAAGGTTCTGAATCAGTTTCTGAAAAATCAGACAGACTACAGGAGACACATGTCCCACTCAGGGATAAGAAAAAATGCCCAAATGCCCAGAGGTGAGACAGACAGCATGAGATACAGACACTAAAATGAGTCACAGACCAAACAGGAGAAGAGACTGACAACAGCCTAGGAAAAGAAAGGGGAGGGGGAGGGGCATGTGATGGACAAGAAGAGATGTGGCTGTCAGTCTGCAGAGCACACAGCAGTGGAGATATTGAGAATGAACATAGATTTCTTCTCCATAAAGGAAAATTCTGCTAACTTTCCACAGTGTGGATGCAGAGGCCATGGGAGATGGGCAGACAGTGTGTGAGTGGCAGCAGATGATAAGGGGCAGGTGTCACCCAGGGAAAAGGCAGAAGCAAATACACAAAATGAACATTCTTGTCCTAAACCAGACAAGCTGATTTATCACATTTTATTTCACCAAGCAGTGAGAATGCAGGGAGTTACTTTGTGAGAGATAGTCTTTTTGTCTTCCTGATTCTTAAGCAGCAGGCAAATCAAGAGCTGTCCAAGCTTGGCTTTGAGGCCAAAACACCAGTAAAAAGCTGAGGATGCTCGCCTGCATCTGCAATGCCAGAAATACACACAGTGAAGCAGTCAGT